ATGGCACAAAGATTTACGAAGATCCAATCCAGCCAAACTATCAGAAAGAGATAAGATAGGTCAGTAACTAACCGATTGTATATGAATCTGGTTTTTGCACAAAAATCAGTTCCCAGCAATATAGTATCAGCTATAGAATTGACAATCTATAAGTTTAATGAGTTAAAAAATAGAGTCCAAAAACCTTGCTGTGTTTTTCGTCTAAGAAACGAATAAGTGATGGCCACATTTCAAGAAAAGAAACGATATGTTCTGGTCCAACTTTTATGGCAGCTTAAGCCATAATGGCAATATAGAATGAGCAACAGCTTCGCATTCTCGCATCCCAAGTATCATATGCAGTTTCATAGAAGAAACCCTAAAAAAAACGATAGTTTATTTAATAACAAGACAACGCTTCATACACCAAATCAAAGGGCGATTGGTCTTGTCTGTTAATTGAAGTGGCTGTTTAATTTTGTACCAAATATTTTGCAGCTATTCAGGAAATAAATATGAATATCAAACTGTACATCACTGTGGACAGCACAAACGTGCTGGGCTGAATTTTTTGTTGCATCGTCTTTTGACTTTTCCTCTCACTCATGAGAGGTTCACAAAAGAAAAACGGACAATACAGGAAATAGCAGTCAGTAACGGTTTCTCGAGAGGCATTGTAGATGATATTATAAGGAAGAAAAAGTTCAGGTTGAGAATGAATGAAATCTCGAGTTTTAGAAACGACGAAAACCAAGATAAATATATCCCATTTCCATACCACCAATACACGAAGAATTTTGGAAATATTTTTAAGGAACTAGGTATGAAGGTGATTTTTGAAACAAGTCATACACTGAAAATCCTTTTAGGAAATCCAAAAGACAAAGTCGAGAATTCAGAAAAGTCTGGAATTTACGAAATTAAATGTAAGGACTGCGATGCAAAATACAGACAAAAAGATCTATGATGGTATAAATAAGGGTAACATTGTATGTATATTTAGTTCATTCTCCCTCTTAATGATGATCACTTGGTGATCGAAGCACGTGTCAAGGTGTTAAAATAACGTTTTGGTGTTAGGATAAAACTCCAGTAATATTCATTACTACACCATCACTAATAACAAAATGTTTAAATCATTTCAAAACAAATGTTTATAGATAGGAAATTTATACTAATAGATATCTGATTTTCATTTAATCATCAAATTAGTGTAGAAAGGGGTATCAGGTATCATTTTATGAGAATCGATCTGATTTCATCAACAACACAAAATTTGGTAAACGAAATCTCCAAAAAGATTTTATTGGGGATAATAATTGTGCCAAATATTTTGAGAATAAAGGAATTGAAAATAATTAAAACCAACCAGCAATCATAACTATTACTACATCACCAATTACAAACATTACCAGAGCGTAGGTACACAAAAACAGTCAATTTCTTCAAAAGTGGTATTTTTGAAAAGAAAAGACCAATCGGTTCAAAATTCAAAATCCATATGATTTTCAAAACTGAAAATTATCTCAGGTCTTCAATTACCAAAAAAACCGGCAAATGAGGAACAAAAATTAAGAAATCGTGTTTACAGTGTTACGTGTATTTCTAGTTAGACTTCTATTGGTGAGACTTCAAAACCTTTAGGAACGAGAAAAATCTGAACACCAGAATAATTTAAGAAACCAAGATCCAAGGAAATCCAAATGAGTAGATCATATTTGCACTTCTAATGACAAAGTCCACTGAAACGTGAAGAAAACTCAAAGAAACAGCTTGTATAATTTTGAATGAAAAATGAAGCATAGCTATCTCTAAGTAAGAGGGCTGAACTGGAAACATTTCATACTAAGTAAAATCATCAACATCCAGTGTACTTGCTGTGTATGTAAAAACTCTCATTCAATTTCGAAAGATTTTGAATTGACTTCTACAGAATTGTGTGTAAGTTTCATCAGTTTTCTATGAGGTTTCATTTAAATTTTATTCAAACGCAGTAACATTTCTGGTAAAATTTTGTAATTTGACTTTATATTTGATCTATATTGAAAATATTTTTTCATCTACTGCCGCTCTCTCTTGCCGCAACAGTTTAATCATCTTCTGATGATGCGGAACGTTTATTCTGGTGTGGAAAAAGTGTTTTCATTATAATCTTTTTATAGAATTGACAATCTATAAGTTTAATGAGTTGATCAAGTAGTTAAAAAATAATAGAGTCCAAAAACCTTGTTGTGTTTCTCGTCTAAGAAACGAATAAGGGATGGCCACATTTAAAGAAAAGAAACGATATGTTCTGGTCCAACTTTTATGGCAGCTTAAGCCATAATGGCAATATAGAATGAGCAACAGCTTCGCATCCTCGCATCCTAAGTATCATATGCAGTTTCATAGAAGAAACCCTAAAAAAAACGATAGTTTATTTAATAACAAGACAACGCTTCATACACCAAATCAAAGGGCGATTGGTCTTGTCTGTTGATTGCAGTGGCTGTTTAATTTTGTACCAAATATTTTGCAGCTATTCAGGAAATAAATATGAATATCAAACTGAAAACAAAGTTCGTATTGTTTGGAAGTCAAAAAAGCAAAAACATTAAGGGCTATGGGCCCAGATTCTCAACTATATTTTAACCCATATTAGAATGGTTCAATACATTCACTTGAAACTATTGTAGATTAAATTGATATATGTAGCCGTAACTACATGATAGGAAATCATTATGAAGAAAAGAGAATTGAAACGTTTTTATGTTTTTTACCACTTTCATAAAAGTTGTAGGTTAAGTAACATTTTCTCCTGGAAATGTTGTTGAAGTGATAACTTCTTATGGGAGGGCAAACTGCTTCGTTACCTTCGTTACCAATTCACACAGAACGAACGTCTGGCAAAGATGAGTACGTTTTTTTAAATCATGTTTTCTTTTACCATATCATTATCTTTCAAATAAGCATTGCGGTCAGATCGTTCACAACGAACTAATATTTTCGAGGAAGAAACCGGTGCTGTAATGACTAAGCGAACACTAATTATTTCAATTAATAACCTGTAAATTAAATCAACCTTGTGCATATAATGTAAGTAAAATTCTATTTTTTTCCCGGCCAGATTTATGAGGACGATTATATATTCAAATTATATAATTCTTAGTATTTCAAACGACGGAAAATTCCAAAAGGAAAGAATAAGTGAGCAATTATAGTTTCATATCAAATAACTACAGTTGTTTTTATTTCTTTCTTATGACAACACTCTTAATTAACGATACATTTCCTTCCTTTCTTCCGAAGATTCCAACAATTTTTGTATCAAGATTTCCTATAATGTTTCGGAAAAGGTAAACTAATTGCCTGCATCATTACTCGACCCAAATCTTCATGAAAAAAATGAAGATGACATTACCGCTCAGAAATTTGAAGAATTTACAAAAGCTTTTGGTCCAAAGTTTGATAAAAAAAGCTGTTTATGTATTTTTGTAATAAGTTATTTTTCTGGCATTTATGTCTTGCGGTACGTTTTCGACGGGCCATCCTGTATATCACTGCCACGTCTACGTTTTTAAATAATAACTAAAATGCTTCATCGAACTTAATTTTGTTCAATAACTCAAAGAACCACTTAGCACTTCTTATTTAAATTACATTCCAAAATATTTCTCTTTTCGATTTGTTAATATCGGTTCTAACCTCATCGCTTGTCTTGATTTCGTAATTGTTTGCTTATTGAGCAATACATATCTACTGTATTTTCATCGTAGAGTTGTTTCGCATAGTTTTCAAGACATGGACAAATTAAAAAAAGAAATATAGATTTGTCATTTTCTAACGGAATCTACAACAACTTTGCATTTTTTAGAACATATTTTGATTGATCCTGCAATTATCAGATATAAAAAATTTCACAGTCACATTATTTATGAACGTTGTCGATAACATAACATTTGACAATTTCTCGATAGTTTCCAAAAGTTGAAGAGATAATGTAAGTTGAAATGGCGTTGATAACGTCATTTATATTAGAAGCATACCCAATAAAATTTTCAGATATATAGTCCATGCTCAGAGTAATGTAAATTTCATCGACCAGAACAATTTTTTTCCTCGATATTTGTATTTCTAGTTCATTTCCTAATTAGAGCGTATATAAAACATGAAAAGCATGAAGAAACAAATCTATTTTTGTGAATTTGCTTCAAACTGATGAGTCAGGCTACAGGTTTCAATATATACGTTGGATTTGGAAATATTGAAAGAGCTGTTGTTTTCACTAAGTTTGGGGTCCCAAGCCAAGGCATTTTGAATAGATTCATATGGCAAAGCCAGAAAATGAGTTACACACACCACAAAAATAAAAGACGGAGTCCAATTTTATCCAGATGTTGCAGACATCCATTATTTTCTGATTTTTTTCACCTTTTAGGAAAAATAAACCTGTGACATACCTGCTCTCAGGTGTAATGTGATTCATTTTCAGTAACGCAATAACAGCGAGGCATATTTGTTCATTAAACTTTGAAATTATCTTCAAAAAGTCGAATGAAAATCAAATGATTCGCCACCTTTCCCTCCAATATAGTGCCGGTTTTGGAGCACTTCATCGACGCTTTCTCTAAAAACTAAAATATTTGGTTGAACAATACTTTTGAATGCATTTCAAAATCATGTATTATCAATGAACCATTCACAAATGCATGCACTTCAGACAGCAGGCATTCATACAATACAAGAACGAGAAAACATGCATAAAATGGACTCTCCGCTTCTCTGTCGATGAGAACGACCGCAATACGTCCGCTCTTCCCGACGACGGAGGCGTAAGTGAACGCGACTTTCAAAACGCAGGACCCCTGACATTGTGGCCGTTTCTCTCTTAGCACGGTTAGTTACTGAAGTCGATTTGGAATTTTAGTTAGGGCGTAACAGTATTATGGGATATTCACAGTTGTACACAGTCAACTGTAAATGGTTTGGAATGACAAATGTCTTTCTGTGAACATCTAATCAGTAAGGTTAATTTTTTACAGCATCCTACATACAAGTATGCAAAAAGAATGTTCCCGATATGACCGCCTGCATAATAAATTCGGTAGACACGCTGAGACCGAAACTGGCTGAAGGGATTCCCGAACTCGGAGTGCCTTCCATAGAGCCCTTACCACTACCTGAGATCAAGTTGAGAAGCGGTCCCAAATCGGCGAAAATTGACGCAAANACCGAAACTGGCTGAAGGGATTCCCGAACTCGGAGTGCCTTCCATAGAGCCCTTACCACTACCTGAGATCAAGTTGAGAAGCGGTCCCAAATCGGCGAAAATTGACGCAAATATCACCAACATCAAAGTTTGGGGGCCTTCTTCATTCGAAGTCCTGGAACTCAGGTATATAATAACACAGACTTTTTACCACTCTATACAAACTTCACTCGAAAAAAGGCTAATAGCAAGGGTTTCTTGAAATTAATATTTTCAAACTCGATGATGGAAAACGATTCAAAAGCTTTATTAATTGGTTCAAGCTAGTGCCATTTTTAACACACATTAAGATTTTCAAGAAACAAAAAATGATTGAGTAACGCGTTTTTGACAGAAGATGCGTTTTGTTCTTACTAATCGTATTCCAGATCTGTCGTTCCCGTCACAAATTTATTTGTCTCTTTGCTCAATCAAAATACATCGAGCAGACACAGCGAATCACTCTTGGCGTCAATGACACAACCTGGAGTAAGATTAGCGAGAATAAAATATACCTTGAGATACTATTTTTCAATGGAGAGCTTCGTTTGTAATTTTTTCCCAACAAAACATACCGTGTATCTCAAAGACACCATCTCTTTCTTCGAAATATTTTTGTGTTTGTTTTTTTAACTACTAGAATACTACGCGAGTTTTTCTATCTGCCAACGTTTAGCAAATATATTTGCATTTTTAGAATGTTAAAGGACAACTTGTCAATCAATTATATGAAATCATTAACTTTATTACAAAATTTACTATTATAAATGCAAACATTGGAATAATGGAAAAACTTGAACTATTCACATCAGAAAAGCATAAATTGTTACATTTCAGTATCTTGTTAGTACAGAACAATGGTGTCTATTTTCAATATTTCTTATCCAGATGTTGCAGACATCCATTATTTTCTGATTTTTTTCACCTTTTAGGAAAAATAAACCTGTGACATACCTGCTCTCAGTGTAATGTGATTTTAATGAAGCCTATTACTTCATACGATGGCTGATCTTTCAGGTCAGCTGGCAAGAGCGTGACTATGACTGCAGCTCTGGAATCGTACTCGTGGGGTATCTTCTGGAATATTATGTTCTCAATGACCACAGCAACCTTTCCTTTGTTTCATTAGATTCGCCCAAGCAAAGTTTTTTTTCTATGGTTTGGATCGATCATCATTTGCGCGTAAGCATCTCTTGTTGCAGATTCTGCTCCTGCTGCTAATGAATTTGGTGCAAGTAAGATTCATAAAATATCCTGTTTTTAGGAGCCTATAAGTGGCTTCCTAGACTCCTAGGTCAATTCAGGATCAAGAGTTGCAGGATTGAGAAGCTCTTGGTTTTGATCCGATGTTATTGGCAGGATAGTTGGGGTAGTTTAGTCGATGTCCGTCACCTTTGCAGACTTAGTGTCAGACACTTCATGGACCATAAAGGGTCTCACGAGTAGCTGAGGAAAGGATATCCATCACGGCAGAACCCCACGTTAGCGTGATACCCACGTATGGGTATCACCTTTATGGGTGATACCCATAAAGGTGAGGTACCCAACGCTGTAGGGCGGGCACTAAAATGCACTGAAGACCACCTTATGAGAACACATTGTCTATTTTGTTATAAAATGATTTGAATAAAAGGTCGATGTTCATCCTCTATCTACTCCTCGTGACTTCTCATTTTTCATTTCACAAAAAAATCTTATATATTTTTTGAATATTAGTGGAGTTTCACCCCAACACTAAACCGTTATTTTGACACCTCGGCATGTGTTTCGATCACCCAGAGGATCTTCAAGAGGAAGATTAAACTAAATATACATACACTGTTATCCTTATTTATACCATCGACACATCTGCTAGGTACCTGCGTCTTAATTATCTTAAATAATTTTACAATGAGGCCTTATGTAATAGGTGAATCACTATTATCTGATTTTACAATGTGGCCTCATGTAATAGTCAGATAAATCTGATTTACCCGACTATTACATAAAGCAACACTGTGAAATTAATTGAAGCCAATTGAGACGCAGGTACCTAGCAGAGGTATCTATATACTGTACGTATATTTAGTTCAATCTTCCTCTTGAAGATGATCACTTGGTGATCGAAACACGTTTATATTTTTGGAATTGTATCATGNATAGTCTAAGAGCCAGTGAGCGGCTACCTGCATGTATTTGACCAGACTTAGGTTTTTGTACATTGAGGCCCCTATACCTTATCATTTATAAATTTTTCCTAACATTTTCTGATTCTTTTTTTTTCTCTTCTCATTGTGAGGTTTTAACTTATCTTTTGAGCATTTCATTCACAACAGTTGAATTTTTACTGTCATAATAGTATTTTTATTTAGTTTTTCTAATTTTATTCATATTTCATAATTTCAGACCAGAAGTGGCCAAGAACAGATTCGTATTCAGAATAAACATACCTCACCTGTATTTCAAAGGCGACTATGACATTGACATCAATGTCGTAATACTGAAATACAAAGGACAAGGTCCAATCACTGGAAATTTCAGTAAGTGCATCATTTATAAAGTGACGTGCATATAATTTAAAACGAGAAGTAAAAATAAGTTAAAACAGTCCAGTTCAATTCGAAACAGAAAATCTGATGGGGTGGAAGATAAAAACCAAGTAAATGTTTCTAGCGCTGTAGGTGGCAAACTCATTTTATACTGAGTGTTTTTAAGATTTTCAACTGAAATATAATTTTGAATTTTATACGGTTTGTATCAAATTTGTCAAAACATTTTTTCAAAATTCATTTGATATTATATCATAAATCTAGCATCCTTTTTCTGAAATTTTGTCATTTCGTATACAATTAATTCACTCCAATTTCCTATATTTTTGTCGAAATTTTGTAGAACATGTTTTGAATTCAAATGTACGTTCAACTGTTATTCCTGAATTCGTCATTACAACTTCAACTTTCGTTTATACAGTTGAAGTCAGTTTTGCCAAATTCAGTCGTCTATCTGTTTGTCTGTCCATTTGTCTCGTGAAGTTGGTTATCAAACTGAAGTATAGTACCTACAATTTAATAAGATATCAACGATGAAATTTTAAATATTGAGGACGCAGTAACTTAGAAACCTGATATTTCTGAAGGAGTCCGAAAATTGGAAAATCTGTTTTTGGGCAAATTTTCTATATTTTCTAATACTGGCAACAAAATGATACTGTCATTTAAATCAATAATGAATTTATTTCCACCATGAATATGGAAGTGGCCAATATCCATATCGCGATCAGTTCCTGAACTGAACACGACTGCGATAACCATTCACGCATTTGCCCATTTCTATTCGTCACCGTAACGTGACTTCAAATTTAATTTTATGACTCTTCAGCCAATCATAAAACTCGGTTAGTAAAAATCATCCAATACTAACTGTCAAGTCTACAGTCTACGTGGACTAGTTTGCTGCCGGTTGATTTGTATGTATTGCTTCTTTTTTTGGCCTTTGAGAGTGCCGCCAACTTTAAATGTGCACAATATCGTTTACTTCGACTATACCTTAGTTTTATTCAACAAAAAATGAAACTATTTGCAAAATATCATGCCATATAATTATTTTCAGTATTACATTGTGCAATATCTCTCATCAATATTTTCGAAGAAGTTTTTTTAAGCTGATTTATTTCACACAACTTGTGTATATTCAACTTGAATTTCAATTTTTTATTCAACAGAAGCAAGTTCATGTTGAATGTTTGAAACTGGGTGGACTTTCAATCATATCAAAATAATGGTGTAAAAAAACGAGTTGACATTGACATGACAGTAAAAGAACCATTTTTTTTAGCCAATATGCAAGCTGACGTTCTCCTCAAAGGCCACCTGAAAGAAATAGACGGAAAAGCGCACCTCCATTTCGAAAAGTTCAAAATTCAACTTAGCATTCAAAAGAGTTATCTCCACCTCGGAGAACTGTTCGCACAACAAGCTCACCTGGGAACAGCAACCAATGAAGTGATAAACGGAAACTCCGATCTGTTCGTCAACGAAATCAAACCGGCGCTGGAATCATCTTTGGCGGACATATTCACGGAAGCAGCGAACAGCATTTGCAAATCTTTCACATACGACGAATTGTTTCCAGAAAACTAAGCATTATGAAGGACAGTTTTTGTTAAGTTGGCGAGAATTATGATATTCAGTAACTAGATGAACGCTTGAGACGCTAATTATTGCACGATCCTCGTATCGAGGAATTTCAGGGGTATACAAAATATTTGTTGATTTCATAAATGTATTTTTTTCTCAAATATAATAGGTGGAAACCGAATATTTTTATCACTGTCACTGATAACTAAAGCCATATTTTTCTGAAACTTCTGGATACAAAGTTGAGACTACAGACATCAGAAGAGGTACATCTACGGGGCTAATATTTAGTGCTGAAACGAGAAGATCTATTGAGCAGAAGTCTTTCGATAGTAAAAATTCAGCTAGGGTGCTAGCTTTCAAACAAATTCCCATCAAACGTTGTTCCATGAACGTTGTGCACTAAAATGAGAAATATTACACAGTTTGTTGAAAAAAATACATTTACTTACGCATTGCTTTGGTAAATTCATTTCCCACATTTTCAAAACGACTTCTAAAATATTATAAAGTAGTCGTGAAGCATCCGCACTTTCTTCCAAGTGCCCCTTGTACATTCTATTGCGATTACTGGACCATATTTGCACCTCCCTGCACAAAAAAAATAGTATCAAGACCTGAAAACACTAAAAAATGCAATTTTGAGAAAACTACGTTACAGGGAGTGATCAATAATTTTCATCCCAGAAACAGTGAACGAAAATTGTTGACCTTCCTATGTCTTTTACCATTTACTCGTGTTTCCTAAAACGACTACGGATTCTTCAAAGTTATAACTAGGGTAACTACTAAGCGAAAGATCAGTCTTTAGTATTGGCTTCCATTCACTTTCTGGAACGGTGGTACCTTGGATTACCATATCCGGTACGAATGTATTTAGGGAACTATTCGTTAGCGATAGTTCAAATGGCACAGTGTCCAAAAAATCACCACGAGGTTTGACCCTGAAAACAAGTAAGTATTGAGAATCTGTTCCCTTTTAGAAGCGGTGGCTCTTACTTAGGTAACGGAAAATTAATTATTTTCATTTTAGTCGGCTTGTCAAGCTTTTCATCCTCTTCCTCGACGATATCCAGAGAATCCGATCGAGAATATCGCTTATTTCCGGGTTTCTTTAAAACCGCACCTGAAGATCTCTTTAAATTTTCTAGTCTTTCATCATCGCCCAATATAAATATAACGGAACTGCGACGATAATCCTGTACATCCTCGTCTTCTGAATCTGCAAGTTGCGACAAATCCACGCCGACCGTTTGGGTTTTTATCAGCCCCGATTTGGTTTTAATTAAGCCAGATTTGATTTTACTCAAGCCTTTTTGTTTTCCAGAATTTGTTGGATCAGAACTTTCAGAAATTCTACCAAATGCCATGTCACATATTTCATCAGCGATTCTATTTTCTGCGGCAATATCCAGACGTTCTACATCCCTTTTTTGTACTTTAATACATCTTATGAAGTAACGAAGAAACTCAAGTATTCTTTTAATAATAATGGAATCATCTTTCAAACCGTAGATAACAGTCTTCGAAGTTTTCGTGAAGTATGCTGTAGATCCCTGCAGATCCATCAACTGCCGCCAGAGAGCGTTGTAAGAATCGGTCAAGGTCAGCTTTTTCGAAGTGTAACAAGTTGATATCCACCCTGTATGGTGCGTTAGCACAGCTGTTAGAAGGGTGCTGAGAAAACTGAAAAAGATCTAATTATTGAAAAATGTAAATGGAAAGATACTTCAGGGGACAAGTGCAATCATGCCCCTACAAGTCAAACAAAAATAATAATAATAATAACATATAATAATACTTAAAAAAATAAACGCAATGAAAAAGCTACTATATTTCCACTTATTCAGTCATCATTTTTCAATTTGTAGTCGATTTCCATCCCTGCGGGATTTGCTAAACTCATATCAAACGAGACATAATTACACTTACCCTAAAACTTTCTGCGAATTACTCACAAATTTGTCTCTTTCGTGTCCAGTTCTTTGAGCAATTCGCAAAAAAAGTCAAAATCATCTTTTTCTTTTCTGAGAAACAAACTTTTTTTGAAGCTCAGTACATCCAACTTGTTTTGGAAAAATTGTAAGATGTTTTTCGATGCTAAATTGCTGAAAATACTTCTGGAAACCGAACTCTTCCCGTCCTGTTTCTCATCTCTTTGTTCACAATCTTCTTTCGTCCATTTACCAAGACCATTCGCAATCTCTAACAACCAGTTGGCAGAATTTATGGAAATGTCCAACATCAGAGAAACAAAATATCTAGGAGAATGTAAGGCGATCTCTATATACTGCCTCAAACGCCATAAAATGGACTCGACAAAGTTTGTGTGCTGAATAAATGTATCACGGTATCTGAAAAATTCAAAGAAAGTCTAGCCAACTCAGTCAAGAATGTGCAAAAATGAGCAGAAATGAAGAAAACTAGTAGGAAACACAAACATTATCAGTAACTCAAGTGCAAATACTTCCTTGTTAATGTATTATGCTCATATACTTATGATGCACTGTTTGGAACCTTTGGTGTAGTAATGAATATTACCGATCCCTTGTCAATTTCAATTTAAAATGAAGTAATCATGCATTTTTTTTAAATTTTTGTGATATATAATATAGAAATAACAACAGAATAGAATAGAATGGAATGGAATGGAATGGAATGGTAACAGGGGTTACCTACGTTCATATATAACCAAATAATAGGGGTATTTACAAACTACCACAGTACAATCGATACCGGTGAGTATGTTTCATCTCGAGTAGACATGGCTGACGTGAACTGTCCTAAAAAGATCGTAGTATTCCGAGACTGAGTAAAAACATTGGCTGAGTAGCATTTCTTTGATGGCTCTTTTAAATTTGGTGATACTAAGCTCTTTAAAGTTATTTGGCAGAGAGTTGAAAAGATTGTAATCAACAGAAATTCATTGGAGCTCCAGGACGACTTCATTGATTCCAATGGCGTATTTGCATTTTCATGCATCAATTTCATTATCCCAAATTTCAATTTTTTGAGTTGACCCGTTCAAAAAATTGAAGGGGGGGGCATTTAAAGGAAATGCACTGTATATTAAAAAAGAAGAAGCTCCAAGATGAAGGCCTGTATAATTCCTCTTCTCACAGTCAATTTCTCGCCAATTTTTTTATTCATAAACACTACTTGACGTCTGTTTTCTAAATAGGAATAAATATAGACAGAGTGTTGACACACTTGAGAATTTCAGGCAACGGAAAAACTGATGAGTGAAAAAGTCGTGGTTGATACCAAAATATTTGGTACTCAATCAGATCAGCAAATGAGCCAATACGAAACGTAAAGAATACGGTGAACGTTTACCTGGGAACACACATGGTGAAACCTTTATGAAGGAATAATCGACTTCAACAGGGCAGATATTGGATCCGAACAATTACTCATTGGATACTGCGGCTTTTCAGATGACATATTGCACACCTGATAGGTAAGTAACTGGATGGCAGAAGGCAAACGATTTATAGACGATCAAGATTATGTCCAGAAGAATGTGACAAACATTTATGAATCACTTCCTTGAAATTAAGCAAACCGTCTCAGTAAATGAACTTACCTGTCATTATCTGAAGCTACAACTAAGATGAGCGCCAGACCTAACCTTGAATTGCCTAAGGTGGTTCTGATTGGATAATTCTCAGAAGAGTTTCTTCTAGTATTGAAAGAATTGTGAAAGTCAGCTGAAGATGTTTCCGATAACGCAAATGAACTGCCTGAAAAAAAAGTTGGAGATTATACAGAAATAGGTACTAACGTATAATGCATTGAACCGTCTTACATGAAAGGCTCCAAAAGAGTGTTTATGTTCGAGTGTTTAATTTCCACGCTCAAAAAATTAAATATTTCAAGAGTACGAATGTCATACCATTATCTGCAAAACTGCTGCCATAATGACTCAGCGACGAGCTACTAGCCAGGCTGATCTCAGAAAACCCAGAGTCAATCGTGGTGGAAGTTGAGCTTGAAGACGGAAGGTGCCCTCTCCTGAAAACTAAGTAAAAAACAAACTGAACAACGCATGATACATGATAAATAGGCCTTACTTGAGAATGAATCGTTCCTCGAAGAATATTCAGACAAACCGGACAGAGCACTCTCGCTAGAGTCGGAATTACTGAGACGGAGCAAATTAGAACTACTCCTGTTTGTTATAGATCTGGACAACGCCGTTCCTGAAATTTTACGAAAACTTTTACGACGTCGAGGCACAAAAACCTAGAAAAATAAGATAATAACAAAATCTGAGATACTACCCGGCCAGATGTCTAAGTATTACGATAACTGTTTTACATCAAAATAATGTATTTATGATTTACTTAATCACTCCAAAGTATTACTATTGTACTCATTCTATCCTATAATATTTTTTCTGATATTTACTACCTGCCATTTGAATAATATAAGATTTATACCTGAGAGGGCTCTATTATAATGGTTTCCGTCAGATGTTTTCAGTATATTTGTCAACCTTCAGATAGATGCCTGGTGTTGCATGAATTTAAAAAAATTGATAGTGTTGCTTTATTTTATTTAGTTCATTGGATTATTAATTGTTGAATATTTTTGACATTATGTCGAGTGAAATAGATAAAGTGCAGTGTGTTTTTTGTGACACATCAAAAACTGAAAAATTATTAATATTTTTGAAAGAGACTATGGTAAAATGTCGTAATATTTTGAGGTGACCAAGTGCGACCTTCTGATTTTGCAAAAGAATTAAAAAATACAAAGTTTAAGGAGGCTCTTGTAGGCTTTTTCGAAAAACATTGGTGTAGTGAGCAAATGAAATTATTCGTAGGCAATCGAAAGATTCATATAAATTTCCGAAATTGTCAATCGTATCAAGTTGTTGATGAGAAGATACAGTCAAATATCGTTGAAGATTTATATTGTACTTTACATGAAGAAGCAGATACAAAAATAATAATATTGTTATCAGAGCCTCTGATACTGATATTTTAATAATAATGATTGGTAATATGGCAAACTTGAAGAATTCTAATTCTAATATTTGGATGCTCAATGGATTTGGAAACAATGAAAGATATATTGACATAACAAAAATTTATCCGGAGCTTGGTGAATTGTTTGTCAAAAGTTTAATCGGATTCCATGCGTTCACCGGATATAATTTTAATCCCGCGTTTTTCAATAAAGGAAAGAAAAGACCTTTCTCTTTGCTATAAAAAATACTGTATTTCAAGAAGCATTTGCTACTATTGGTGACGAATTGGTGACCAATTACAAGACATATTTAATGTTATTCAGCAGTTTACTTGTCAGCTCTACAATGCCAAAAAATCTAAGGACATAGATGATGGAAGATTCCAACTATTTGTTAGCAGCTACAAAGCTTCAGGCGTCAATGAGAATTTCACCAAGAAAGTACACCATTTTGACGCAACGTCAATACCACCGTGTAAAAGTGAACTTTACCAACAACTTCTGAGAGCTCATTATATTTCTACTATTTGGAAAAATGCTTACAAAAAGCAACCTACAACTTTGGACCCATTGGAGTACGGCTGGATTGAGCAGGACAACATATTTTTCCTCAAATGGTTCGAAGGAGATCAACTTCCATCTTTTGTCAGTGACTTAATCACCAATATTCCTTGTAAGTTAATAAAAATCAATTCCTTATCGAATATGTTCAAATCTATCTATAAATTAATAATATTTTACAATTTACGTTTAATTTTTACTGAATCTGACTCAATTGATGATGAAAATGATGTACACAACGATGAACATTACCCGGATGATGATGAATGAAGAATAATGAATACTTATAAATATGTATGTTACCTTAATATACCTTGATATTTAAAATTTTTCCGTATTTTATCAAAACGGCAAACGTCGTCAAATGCATTTAAAATTACTAAAAAATTGATACCTGTCCTACATGCGCACTCACTGCGTCCACCACTTTGGGCTTAGTGAGGTCCCATATCATGTACGGTAGGTATAGGGGCCTCAATGTACAAAAACCTAAGTCTGGTCAAATACATGCAGGTAGCCGCTCACTGGCTCTTAGACTATAATATAAAAAGCAATTACCGGCTATACTTTGGATTTGTAAAAGAGGTAAAACTGATAAATGATAAAGATGAAAGTACAATTACATTTATGAAAAAGACTGACAATCAAATATCCAATAAAGATCGACCGAATCAGTTTGATGACATTGAAAAGAAGCATATAAAGTAATCACAGCTGAAAAGTGTTAACAAAAATATAAAGGAGCAATATTAAGACTATATATATTGCGTTTTAGTACGGGTTAATATCTCCGAAGTCAACAAAATTTTGGCAATTACATATGTACAAAGAAATCTATTTCTTTACGCATTTGCAACTTTTTACCCTTGCAGAGGCGACACCAGGGTGCTGCACCCCATAATCTTAAATGGAAATCTATATCCTTATGTAGGTATCTCATTTGGTCTTGAAGAAAAAAACATTTCTGCAAAAACTTTAGGTCTGTAAGATAACCCGTTTCCGAGTGAAAATTATTTCAAGTTATCCAACGAAATGTTATTTTTTGGTCACGTTTTGTAAATCTTATTTTTACAGGAATTATTTCATTATATCGATTTGTGTTTCTAGCAGTACCCGTTGATTCGGTTTTATATTGATATTACATCAACATTGAAAATTCATTAGTAAATTTTATGATTTTATTAGACAAAGTTAGAAATAATTTTATTTTAGGGACAAGTTATTCGAAATTTTCATGAGGCTGCAAGACTGTTTATTGATGTTTTCCCAGATAGACCAGTTTCTTCTAGTCACATGAGAAGTGTTGTGCAAATCAACAGTGCATGACATTTTGAAAGAGCTTAAATTTCATTCCTTTAAAAGCCATCTTGTATGAGAACTAAACGAAGATGGCCCAGATCGAAGACTGCAGTTTTGTCAAACTGTCACTACCTCTATCGGATATTTTTCAGTGATGAAGCAAATGATGCAGTGATGATGCAAATGCTTCTATAGACACAACTGCCGATACTGAAGTGAAGAAGGCCATAAACAAAATCCTGAGAAATTAAACGTATGGGTCGGAATTATGGGTAATACGGTAATTGGTCCCTTTTATCGACGGAAATCTTACCGGACGCTTAGATATACTTGCAACTTTTAGAAGAAGCTATCACATCTGGGATTGAAGCTGCTATTCACTCAATATCCAGAAAAGCTAAACGTAGGAATTTTGGGAGACCACCTAATTGGACCTCTGTTTATTCCCGGTAATTTAACTGGTGAACGTTATCTTGAAATGCTGGAAAATGCGATTGATCCGTTAATAACTGAACAATTAGAAAACGATCCTTTACTACTTGAACAACAATTGCATTTCCAACAAGACCGAGCTCCCCCGCACTATGCCGCACAAGTTCGCCAATACCTCAATTGGATTGGAAGAAGAGGTCCTATACAGTGGCCTGCCCGATCTCCAGACCTGAACCCTCTGGACTTCTTCTTGTGGGGACATCTCAAGTCCAAGATTGTTGTGACTCACCCTGAAAATTTGGACGAACTACGCCAAAGAATTGTGAATGAGTGTCGTCAAATAACTCCAGTTATGCTGAACCATGTCAGAAGAGACGGTTTTCAGTCAAGATTGTATTATTGTATGGAAGTCAATGGAGGACAATTCGAACATTTGATTTAAACACGCAGATTTGATTTTTTTTTATTGTAAGCATGATGATAAAACAATTCAATTTTTTCAAGAATGTGATTTTTTGAAGATTGTTTAAGTTTGTAAAAAGGGCTTAATAGAAATGGGCTTGTACATGTAAAAATAACCAAATTATTCAAGGTGGCTCATTCGAGCAGCAAAATAGATTTTTAACAAAAACGGTTCATTAAATTTACGTTTTTCATACACAGGCTTCCAAGACGTTTCAAATGAAGTATCACACAACCCCTCTCCCCTATTCAAGTTTGAGGGGTTGAGGAGCCCCCTATTAGGGGGTTGATCGTTCAAGCCTAAAATATACGTCAAAAGATGTCCCCCAAACAAAATCATTCGACGTTTCGGGAAATGTTTCCACTCATTATGGGATAAGAAATATACGGGGTGGCTCGTCTGAAATGTAACATCCTGTATATAGATACTTTAGTGTGTATAATGTTTGTGTATAATCTTTTTTTTTTGGTAGAAGTGAATTCATCAGCAGGCATAAATTATAATTTCAGTGAGTTTCGCCTGGTTTTCTACCTGAAAGAAACTCGCAACTAAAGATTGAAGCACAGCTGCTCTGAAGCGACTGGATTCTGGATTATTCGGCAAAAACTGAAAAACTCACATTTTCATTTGGGCAATTTTCAAAGAAATTCCAAAAGGAATAATCGAAACTTTCCTGTCATGCACTCGGTCAGTTGCGAATTTATCATTAAATAAAAAACTCTACACCTGACGTTTATAAATGGATCTGCATTTACGCACAAAAACAACATTGAAACTCGTGAGTATTAGCACATTTCCGGTGTAGAAGTCATGAGAAGGGTCTATTTCAAACCGAGTGTTATACGTTCGTCTACGATGGAAGTACTGTAAACGACTTACCGATTTTGATGGCTTGCACGATAATTTGTACACTCATCCGATTCTGAACCTTTCACGTGATCCATTAAGTCATTTTCTAACGATTTGTTTGAAATCGCCGTTTTTCAAATCTTGCCAGAAATTAGTAAATATAAAATCACGTGCGATCCGCGGTGACGTAAAATCGGAAACACGCGTCGTTGCCACGATCACAAATTTGTCTTTGAAACTACATCTATACGTTATTTAAAACTTTTTCCCGCTTCACAACAATATAAAAACGTTCTTCTCGACACGCGTTTCACTACTTTCACTAGCCAAGTTGGTTATCAGGCGATGATCTATACTAACGCCAAAACACTGATAGATTTCTCAATTAATAATTATTATTACTTACCCGCTAATTTTTAAGAGAAGCATTTTCACGACCTGCTTAGAATTGATCTTTGTAACAGTTCATGGTATCATATGCCGAAATCAACAATTTTAAAAACAAATTCTTTATTTCACTCAATGGGGTGACACCAAGTGTTCTTTGAAACGGTTTGTAATACTGCATTTAGTTTGACCAACATAATTTTGTCACAGTAATTATAGCTCCATTGAAAGGGGGATATTTTCGAAAGAGACAAGCTTTTGGGAAAAGGTTTCAAAATGGTG